CTCTTGTGCTGAAATCATACGAACTTTATTTTGGAATTAAAGTTGGCGACCAAGATAAACTTTGAGACCCTCATATATGTTGTAAGACTTGTGTAACGTTGTTAACAGGTCGGTTAAGAGGCGACAATCGTAAAATGCCCTTTGCGGTACCAATGGTTTGGAGAGAACCGAGAGACCTTACTAATGATTGCTATTTTTGCCTCACAAATATTAAAAGTATTGGACCAAAATCGAAACATACTGTTAAGTATTTGAATTTACCATTAGCTTTGCGGCCCGTTAAGCACAGTGATGAGCTTTCTGTCCCAGTTCCACCAGAATATTGGTTTTTGGATGAAAAAGTCGAATCCACCGATTCTGAAAGTGATGGTACAGAAAGCGTAAAAATTTCTGATCCTTCGTTGGACCTGCCAGAATGTTCAACAGCGCCGCATTTGATCACACACGGCGAACTTAATTAGAGAGAATTAAATCTGTCAAACTCACAGTTTTAGCGTCAAGATTAAAAGAATGGAATCTTCTCCACGGTGATGTTAATATTACTTTTTACCGAAAATGGCAACAAGACCTCACACACTGTTTCCGTCAAGAAAGGGATTTGATATATTGCTCGGAAGTCAACAACTTGTTTGACGCGTTAGGACAGAAACATGATTCAAATGATTCGTGCCTGTTCATTGATTCCTCTAAGCTTAGTTTAAAAGCGGTACTGGTACACAAACGGTAATAAATATCCATCTGTACCTATAGCGCACGCAGTTCATATGAAGGAATCATATGAAAATATGCGAGTTCTGTTAGAGCATATCCGTTATAATAAATATAGATAGGCCCTATGTGCAGATTTAAAGGTAATAGCTCTTCTTCTTGGAATGCAACTGGGACTGGAATACCAAATATTGTTGTTTTCTTTGTGAATGGGACAGTCGTGCGCAAGATAGTCATTATGAACAGAATGAGTGGCCACTACGTCAGGTAATTAACTCCTGGCCTCAAAACAGCTCATGAACCACTAGTTGATCCCATAAACGTGTTGCTGCCACCTTTGCATATTAAGATGGGACTGATGAAAATTTTTGTGAAAGCTATGGTTCGAAATGGAAGAGGGTTTCTGCATTTAAAACAAACATTTTCGAGACTTAGTGAGACAAAAATTAAAGAGGGCATATTTGTGGGTACACAAATACGGAAAATGATGAAGGATGATGTATTTGACAGTGCTCTAAATGAAACTGAATTACGAGCTTGGAATGCTATTAAATCAGTTAGGGGAGCGCGGGGTAATGGGAGCGTTCGGGAAATGGGAGCTATGGTGATTGAACGGAATGTAGGCAACTTACGTGATTGGTAAACATTCGGCTGCTTCCGCCAACATTCGAGAAACTTCGCCTGACCGGTACGAGCCGTTAGTGCCATGAGTTCAGTCACGAGGGACGGTTGTTTGTTTTTCGCTGCGTCCTTATAAAAAATTGTGGATTGCCAGCGACAAGGTAAGCATGAAGCTTGATTATTATTTTATTTTGTTTATAATCATAACATCCGTAGATTCATTCACTAACTAGTGCAATTTGTTTAATTACGATTGGAATTCGAATTACATTATTTATATTATTACTTTTCAAAATGGTGGTCAGCGGGAAATGGGAGCCTAGAATGGCTCTCACTACCCGACATAGCTCCCACTACCCTACCAGCTTTTAAAATATATTTTCACACCATTTTACATACGTATTATGTTTTTTATTTCAGATGCCACGTAAAACAATTCGGAAAACCACGAAAGCTTCTTGGACCGCAGATACATTAGAAAATGCAATCAATATCCTCAGAGCAGGAGACATTTCGGTGTACAAAGTATCTCAGCAAACGGGCATACCTTACAGCACTTTAAAGAAGAGATTTAATTTAGCGAAAGCTAACGACGAACGGTACAAAAAAAATCCTAAGTTGGGAAGATATCCAGTATTCAGTTTTGAGCAAGAAAAAATACTGGCTAGTCATATTCAGACTATGTCAAATAAATTTTATGGACTGACGAGAGACCAGTTCCGAAAAGTATGTTACGGTATAGCTAAAAGGATGGGTATTGAACAAAGGTTTAACCAAGCCAGTCAAACTGCGGGAAAAGACTGGCTGTTTGGATTTTTACAGCGACATTCTGAGTTGAGTATTAGAATGCCGAAGCAATTAGTATCAACAGAATTACCGGATTTAACAAGACAGAAGTAAAGCTTTTTTTTGATAATTTGGATAAATTGATGACGCAACACCACTTCGAACCTACGATGATTTACAATGTAGACGAGACTGGTATAACGACCGTCCAAGAGACTGAAAAAGTTATAGCTCCCAAGGGGCAAAAACGCGTTGGATCTGTGACGTCATGGGAAAGAGGTAAGACTGTGACAGTTATATGTGCTATGAATGCTTCAGGGTCTTTCATTCCACCGCTTTTCATATTTCCACGAAAACGTCACTCACCACAGCTGGAAAAAGATGGACCTCACGGAGCTGTTTACACATGTAGTCATAATGGCTGGACCAATGAAAATATATTTATTTTATGGCTACGTCATTTCATTAAACACGCCAAACCTACTGCTGATACTCCCGTTTTGCTAATATTAGACAACCACAACAGTCATGCTACTCTCGAAGCTTGGGATTTGGCAAAAGCGAACCATGTTGTAATGCTTAGCATTCCGCCACATTCATCGCACCGCCTACAACCTCTTGACGTTGCGTTTTATTCCCCGCTTAAAAAAGCGTACAACAAAGAATGCAACTTGTATATAAAATCAAGAAATTTGATAAAAATCACACCATACGACATTGCAGGACTCTTTAATAAAGCCTACACTAGAGTAGCTTCTATAGAAAAAGGAGTATCAGGCTTTCAAGCAACGGGAATATATCCCATGAATCCTGAAATATTTTGTGATGATGACTTCATTGGTGAGGAAGCCAGATCTGTGCTCGTGCATGACGCAGGACAGCAGCCAACTAACATATCTCCTGTTCCATCTACGTCAAAGCAGACAGTCAATAAACCATCGACTGCTAGCCCTGCTATGAGTCCATCTATTCTTTGTGACGCAGAATTTCAACCAGAAGTAGTTGAGGAGGAAGCTGCTGTAAACCCAGCTCCAATTCTAACCATATTATGTGCAACACCAACACGAGCTGCTATTCGGGAGGAACATATCGTCAGATCTACCGCAACTCCGTCAAAATCATATTTTAATGAGACCGATACTAATGACGGAGAAACAGTAACTGACTTTGTTGATATTCTAAAAATTGTGAGCCCACTGCCACAACAACTCATAACTAATAAAGAAACGAGATTGAAGAACAAACAACATTCTGAAATTATAACAAGCACTCCAATGAAGGCAATATTTGAAGAAAAGAAGAGGAAAAGGACTGAAAAAGAGAAAAACACTAAAAAAAATAAAGAAGACTGTAATCAAGAAAATTGCACCGAAGGTAAATGTAACAAACGGAAACTTACCAAAGATAGAGAGGTTAAAAGCAAGAAGACCACAACCAGAAAGAAAGGGGCCAAAAAGGCAAAAAAAAATTGTTTAATAGTGATGATGAAGATTCATCTGATGATCAAATTGACGAATGTACAATTTGCGACGACGAGTCAGAATACTCAGAAGAGGAAACTTTATGTGCAATTTGCTTAGACACGGGAAAAAGTGGAGAGATGTGGTACCGATGCAGAAGTTGTGGAAACTGGGCTCATGAAGAATGCTCTGGAAGTGATAGTCCAGCTTCTTATATTTGTACATTTTGTTTGGATCCGTAAAATCTGGGTCATATGTTTTTCTTTAATAATTTTATCTTTATTTTTCTTGTTTTTGTTTAAAAAGTATTTTTTTATTTGTGTTACAATGAATAGATCGTAGTAGCTAACTAAGATTACAGTCATTTAAAGTATATTTAGTTTAACTTTTGCGCAATACTAAATAGTATGACTCCCATTTTCCATATGAGTGTCAAATGGGCTCTCATTACCCGCACGTGTCGGGTAATGGAAGCGATTGACTTTTTTTGTAGAATCGGTATTGTACCTTAATATATGACTGTAATAAGTCCTAACAGTGATTAAAACATACCTGTACGATTATTCTAAGAGTTCCTAGTTAAAAATTATAAAAAAGTTAATAAATGTGGTTTTTATGAAAGTTTTCCCTTAGTAGGCTCCCATTACCCTGCGCTCCCCTACTGCAAAGGCAATGTGGAGGCGGACAATTATTAAGATATTGTGAGGGAACTAATTAATGCTTATAAAGGAATGGGATGTAACATGTCTTTAAAAATTCACTTTTTGAATTCTCATCTCGATTTTTTCCGGAAAATTTAGGTGCGGTAAGTGATTAACACGGTGAACGGTTCGACCAAGACATTTCTGCTATGGAAAAACGGTATCAAGGCAAATGGAGTGTCAATTTGCTTGCTGATTATTGCTGGACAATGTTAAGAGATACTTCAGGACCAACATATCGCCGTAAAATATCGACAACAACATTCTGAGATTAATGTTTATTCTTACACACATATCCTTGTATTTTAGGAGTATAAGCTGCAAGTAAAATGCAGTATTGCAAGAAAATCGTAGCTGATAGAAGAAATCAGGTGCTATTTCAGGCTTTTTGGGTACGTTTTACATAATAACCACCTTGTTTTGTCCAAGTCACAAAAAATTATTTTAACTTTGTTCAGCAGTGTTATTTATCTGTTTCCCTCAGTATTTAGTTTGACCAGTGATTACAGATAATTATTTATCAAGCCTACTGCTCGAAATAACAAAAATTACAATAGGCGCAGCTAGAAACAAAAATAGGATTAGTGCATAAAAGTTAAAATAATGTTAAGACGTGATTTATCAGAGAAACGATTGATTTTTGGACACAATATCATTCGGACAAATCTCTTGGTATGACTTCATCCTTAACGTCTTTAACTGTTCAAATTGCATATTGACTCACTTGTCTTTGTGTTCAGCAGCCCTATCTCGCTGCCTCCGGTTTTTGAACCAATTTGACACTTGCGTGGTGGTCAAGCCAGTCGCTTCGGACAGCTCCTTCTTCTCCCTCGGACTGGGATACGGGTTGTGACTGTACCATTCGCGCAAGATCGTCCTGGACTTATCCTTGAAACAGTAGCTGGTCTCCTCGCCGTCCCAGATTGTCCTGGGGAGGGGGAATTTCTTGCGGACTCGGTATTTGCCGACTGCGCCTAACGGCCTACCTAGGGGATCAACAGACAGTCTATCTTATTAATCAAATTATAGTTCAGGATTCTATGCAGCAGAAAATGTCCTCTTTTGATACTAAACTAAACCGTGAAACGTCGCTCGTAGGGCCCTAAATGCTATTTAGCTAGATGACAACTTACGAGTAATTCATGTTTTCATAATGTTGAAAAATAACCCGAAAGTATGATTATAAATTTAGGGAAAGAGAAGTAAATCGTGAAACCTGTAATCAGTCAATCTCAATTAGTGTGAGGGGAGGACGTATATGTTATCCTTTGCCTCGGAGTACAAAAAACTTTGAAGCCGGCCCTGCCTGTAAGTTGGCATGTAGCTGATTAGCTTTAAGGATCCTACGCGGGAGATTACACAACTTAGTTTATTAAAAAATAATTGTCAACATGATACATATTTTTCCTGAACTCAATTCCCTGCAAAGCTCCCCTTTAAGCTTAAATTCCCGGCTTCCACGGAAAACAGCCAGCTCATTTAGATCGCTAGGGATGGACTGTCCCTATTGCAATAATTGCTAGTTTTTTACACCTTGTGAAATTTTTTTCTGAAAAAAAAAACTGCCCGCTCATTGTATCGAAATTAATCAAGAATATAGGATAAAACTTTACGAAAACATCAGGTTTGAATCACTATAAGCCATTCCGTCACTGGCAGTCTAAATGAGTTAATCCATTACCATGCGCATCGTGTGAGGCCTCAAATTGTCACTAAGCTATTAAAATTTCGTTAAATCATTCAAAAGATGTTCAAACAGAATGGATTTCTAGTCGCGCCCTTTGGGGGCCTTCATTTCTGGAACGAATCGGTATTTCGAGAATCATAAACCAAAGAATCACCCTGACGATACACACTTCGTGGTATACAGGGTGTTTCATACTTGAATAGACATAGCGAAGTGATGAACCGAGACCTTTTCATATCTGGAAATAAAAAAATACCCATATCTCAGCCACCATTGAGTGGATTTTGTTGAAATTTTGCATATAGTTAAAAAATTCAGGGCCGGACTCGATTATTTTTTTATGGAAAGGTCTCGGTACGTACTATCTACCAGTTCACTAGGTTCATTAATTATGGAACACCCTGTATGGTATCCTTGACTATCCTTCAATATCCTTTTATATAGCCTCCCGGATGTATGAATAGGCATAGAGAGAGTCGCACTCATCAATTTTATCATTGAGACGAAACATCTTTCATATATGTAATAAAATGACAGAACAGCAAATTTCCGAACAGGTTATTATTAGGCAACCACGCATTTTCTCAAAAAAGGTTATAACAAAGCATATCGAAAAGTTTGTTGTTTGCTACAAATATGACGTAGATAACGACCACAAGTTTGAACATTCCTATGGCAACAACCATTTTTGACAATAGAATCATGTAGAATTTAACAGCTATATCAGACTGAATCCTCCCTGCTGACATTTGTCGGAAAATTTCTGAAAAGAGGGCTGCGATTAAGCAAGCAAAAAGTTCTTGCCATCCTGATGACATTCAAAGAGCGACGAATCTCGTCCATGAAGTGAGAAATGCACTCCATGAATGCCGCAATGAGCAGTGGAGCGGCTTTCTGGCGGGGATGCTTGAATCAAGTATTCCTCTCTGGAAAGTGGCAAAATCGCTCAGAAACAGAAGGCAAGAACAACTACCACATATTCATGGTCCTGGAGGCATAGTTTTCAGGACTGAGGATAAAGTGGAGGTTTTTGCTGACGTCATGAAAAGGCAGTTCTCTAGCAATTATGATCTGGACGAGGAACGACAAATTGTAAGATCTGTCAGGAGCGAATGGCGATACCATCATCGGTGCTAACATCGGTGACTCCTTTTCAGAAGATTCTTCTACGGAAGACTCTTCAGATAAATCTCAGCATAGCACATCAACGGAATCCTCTGAAATTCCGTTTTGCACACCAGCAAAGCTCCAAGGCCACATTAAGGACCTAAAGGTGCGTAAAGCACCTGGAGAGGATACAATCACCAACAAAGCACTGAAGTTGCTTTCGCTCAAGGCTTTGACTTATGTGGTGGCAATAATCAATGCAATGCTCAGAACTCATTACTTTCCTAAGTCGTGCAAGGTCGCTGAAGTCATCATGATCCCAAAGAAGGCAGGTTCGATATTCCCCCAGGATTACCGTCCCATTAGTCTGCTGTCAGCTCCTTCTACGGTGCTCGCTGAAAAGGTGATTTATCGTCACCTTGAGTATTTCTCGTCAGATCCCCATGTGATTCCTGACGTGCAATTCGGCTTTCGGTCTGAGTATAGTACGGAGCTACAGGCAGTTAGACTGATGGAGCATGTAACCAGGGGGTTCACCCTGAACAAAAGTACTGGTATCTTGCTTTTAGATGCATCAAAGGCATTTGACAAGGGGTGGCACATGGGCCTCTTGTATAAGCTCATCCAAAAGGGTTTTGTGTTGAAATCTTTTCTAGAAGGAAAGAAGTTTCGGATCAAAATTAACAATGTGTTGTCAACAACACAAGAGCGGGTGTTCCCCAAGGTTCGGTCTTAGGACCAATCCTTTATACACTTTATATACATAACGTCGCTTGCCCCAGCAACTGTGAAGTCTATCTCTATGTTGACGACACTGCATTGCTAGCCCAGTCTTGTTCTGGTAACCTGGTTCACGACAGGCTGCAGAGTGCGGTGGAAGAAGTATTGGAGTGGGCGGATCGGTGGCTGATCAAAATTAATACTTCAAAAACGCAGGCGATCTAGTGTACTAAAAAACGTCGCGGTGCCCCCTCAGAGATATCAGTGAATGGAACTCGTATACCATGGGAGCAATCTGTCAGGTATCTTGGACTCATCATTGACAAGGGGTTGACCTGGCAGAAACATACTGATATTTTGAAAACAAAATTCCAAATTACCTTTCGGCAGCTTTATCGTTTGTTGTGCAGAAATTCAAAATTAAGTTTGATCAACAAGATTCGGTTGTATAAAATGGTCATAAGACCCGCAATCACCTACGCAAGCGCGGCTTGGTGTTTTCTTGCCAAGACGCAGACCGACGAGACTTTTAACTAAGAGCAAAGGTCCACCGGACCGCTCTGACGAATAATGATGAATAGTATCAGACTGAATTTTCAAACATGGGAGCAAGTGGTCATAAGTGGCTCAATCAATGTGACCTGCTGCAACGTTTGAAAATACACCGAAAGCAACGCATTTATGCTAAAAGTTTCAGGATATACAAAAATTGGGTTACTTTACGCTACTCACAGAATAGACAATTAATTGTAAGTGAAAAGCGAGGAAATACGCGCTTGGGGTGGGGGGTTAGAAATGTATGAACGTCTTTGTTGGATTCTTCGTTCAACACATTTTATATCTGGAAGTAAAAAACATAGCAATTATGGTACATTTAGCTATTATCGTACACGTAGATTGTATACTAACTGAAATAATAGTACAAATACGATAATTATCGTACCCCTGTAAACGCTGATCCACTCTGATGTGCACGGATGAGCTGTCAAAAATGGCGGCTGCTGTTTAAATTTACCTTTAAGGTCATTGTCTAGGTCACATTTGGGGTTATGGATTAACTATTTTTTGATACCCTGTAAATAATTTTTTGAAACTGTTTGCAAAAAAATGCACGATTGTCGAGTTTTCGTAGTGTTCGTGTACGTTTCAGCTCACTTATGACCACCTGATCTCATGTTTGGAAACGCAACCTGATTTAAAATCTCAAGCTCTATATGAAAGTGCCGTCAAGAATGATGTTTGCTTTTGAATTTATTAATTTGGTCTTTTACCGAAAAAATGCCTGGTTGACTATATTGTTTCGCTACATCACTGATTTTGGTCATTCAAAAAGGGCCTTCGCTTTAATTGTCATTGTAATGTGTCCTGGGATAGTAAGAACATGTTCTAGTTACCTCTGAGTCTTTCAGCCTCGATATAATGTGCCATCGTCCAAAGTTGTTGCATTTTCGAATGATTGTGATTGCTGAAATTGTGGCCTTCTAATATTTTGTACAGTTCCTTAAAATTTCCTTTATGGAACGCTACTATTGCTTTGGCTTTCAAAACACTTTCGTTGTTGTGTAGTTTATCACATGCTGGTAGTGACCACAGGAATCTGCCTAACCGCTCTACGTTACCAGCTTGTTGTAGAACCTGAAAGAAAAGAAAGACCGATTAATGAATGGTATCATTTACGCAACCAAACTTTTTACACCAAAAGAGATATAAAAAGAAGAAGAGTTAAGTTTTTGATAGATGTTAGAGGAACGTAAGATACTGTCAGAGAGCCAGTCTGGTTTTCGAGCAAATCAAAGCTGTACTACGGTCTTACTAAAAATAATTGATGATATACATGTAGCACTTGATCAAAATACTGTATTTTAGTACTACTAGACAAAAACAAATGACAATTGTCCATCAAGTCTTATTATCTGTTGTTATTTTAACTTTTCCCAAGATTCTATACATCTAATTGAATCATATATAACTGATAGGTCTCAGGCACCAATCTTATCCTCAGCTCGAGCTTTTTACTGGTGTCCCGCAAGGCTTCGTGTTAGGCCCTCTGCTTTTCATATTATACACCTCGCAGCTCAACAGATGCGGAAAATATTGCTCCTATCACTTCTAGGCTGATGATGCGCAGCTATATATCATATCTGAAGAGACTGATATCGAAAAAGCATGTGATAGGTTCTTTTTCCTACAATGTGGCACGGCCGACTATGAATTTATTTAATAAAACAATGAAGTGCCTTTCCATTGGTTGATGACTACTCAATATGAACCATATATAAAATTAACTCCCTTTTTATGGTGTATAAAACAGTTTTTCATTTCTGCTTTTCTTCAACTTTTATAGGATCAAGTTTCTTGCTTCTAAGGCATCACAGTAAGGTCTAGGTAAATAGTTATTGTATTTTCTTTCGGTTGAATGAAAGAGCGGATTTTTTTATACGGTAACAAGATCTGAATTCTGCCGTTTTCCAGGAAAGTGGCTAAACTTTATTTGTTCTCTGTAATCTTTGGTGTGCTCAACCATTTATTAGTATTAATATTACCTCTACTAAAAATCGCCTTTTCCAGAGAGTATGACGTATTGATAAAAGTAAATCTACAACTAGGGGCCTCCTGCAGTTCTTTTTAAAAAGGTCCCTCCTGTTTATTCTTTGGACAGGTCAAGTGAAGTGAAATTCTAGGTGCTGAAATTGATGCCTGAATACTATATTCCAAGTCCATTATCCGCGTTTGATAACCCCATATTATAAAATTCTCCTTTCTAAAATTTATTATAAAATAGAAAACACTCTTATGAAATAATGTCATGAAATAATGGATTTTGAAGAGAAAAAAATTCGAAAACTCTTGAAAATTATGGATATTTTAAAATTTCGCTGTTTTGAAGAACCATTTTTCGAACGAAATACCTTGTATTTTGTTGCACCTTCAGATATATCATTAAAAAAAAATATTTATGTAAAAACGTCTTGACGTTTTTTTTGTTGACCTATAAGTGATTCAATGCACGAAAACGCCATCCAAGATAGTATATAGCGTATTTATACTCTAGGGCTATAATGAGCTTCAAAATGACCCCTCATTCCTTGGTGTTCCTTTTTTACATGTACAACGCAGTCAAAACACCCTGTACACATTTGCACGTACAAGCATGCAATTCCACTAAAACAAAACGCTGCACACATGCACATGGTCGGTGTAGCTGCTGTTGCATCGCGCGACAAAATTCTTAATAGCCGCTGGTCACCCACGCAGCAGTACGACTTGCGAGTGGAGCGCAAGCTATACCAAGTGAGTATCAAGCAGTCGGTGAGGTCCGATGCGGCCGTGCCAGGAGCCCATTCATCATTCTAGGAGCCCAGCATCAGGTTACAGGCAGTCACCGACAGCCGTCCGTGCGCTAGTCGTACTAGCCTCCACGTGGGTGGACCCAGGGGCGTACCTTCACAGAGACACCGAGCAATTCGTGGCCAAAATCAAGACGAGCAGAGAAAGCGATACCCGACAATTGCATGCACAACTCAAGATCATCATATATACATCAAAGGCAAGAAGAAGTTCATGGCCGCACCATCGTTCCTACGAATCCAGGCGGCTCAGGTCCTACGTGAGTGGACCCAGATCGATGGATTGGATCGCGTGCAGTTCTTGATAAAACTCAAGATTCTCCTGTAGAAGCAAGCAATACAAATCAGTCTGTGGAAGTTCGACCACGGCTTGCCCCTGCTGGGAGTCTATTCATCATTCCTAGGAGTCCAGTATCAGGTTACAGGCAGTCACCGACACCCGTCCGTGCGCTAGTCGTACTAGCCTCCACGTGGGTGGACCCAGGGGCGTACCTTCACAAAGACACCGAGCAATTCGTGGCCAAAATCAAGACGAGCAGAGAAAGCGATACCCGTTCGAAGATCGACCGTGCAAAGAGTCGATTCATCATTTCAAGGAGCCCTGTAAACCCAGGTTAAAAGTCAGCGACAGAAACGTACCATCAGGCCTCAAATTGGACAATTGCATGCACAACTCAAGATCATCATAATATACATCAAAGGCAAGAAGAAGTTCATGGCCGCACCTACGAATCCAGGCGGCTCAGGTCCTACGTGAGTGGACCCAGATTGATGGATTGGATCGCGTGCAGTTCTTGATAAAACTCAAGATTCTCCTGTAGAAGCAAGCAATACAAATCAGTCTGTGGGAGTTCGATCACGGCTTGCCCGTGCTGGGAGTCTATTCATCATTCCTAGGAGTCCAGTATCAGGTTACAGGCAGTCACCGACACCCGTCCGTGCGCTAGTCGTACTAGCCTCCACGTGGGTGGACCCAGGGGCGTACCTTCACAAAGACACCGAGCAATTCGTGGCCAAAATCAAGACGAACAGAGAAAGCGATACCCGTTCGAAGATCGACCGTGCAAAGAGTCGATTCATCATTTCAAGGAGCCCTGTAAACCCAGGTTAAAAGTCAGCGACAGAAACGTACCATCAGGCCTCAAATTGGACAATTGCATGCACAACTCAAGGTCCTCATGTATACATCAAAGGCAAGAAGAAGTTCATGGCCGCACCATCGTTCCTACGAATCCAGGCGGCTCAGGTCCTACGTGAGTGGACCCTGATCGATGGATTGGATCGCGTGCAGTTCTTGATAAAACTCAAGATTCTCCTGTAGAAGCGAACAATACAAATCAGTCTGTAGGAGTTCGACCACGGCTTGCCCGTGCTGGGAGTACTATTCATCATTCCTAGGAGTCCAGTATCAGGTTACAGGCAGTCACCGACAGGAGTCCGTGCGCTAGCCGTACGTGGGTGGACCCAGAGGCGTACCTTCACAGAGACACCGAGAAATTCTTAGCCAAAATCAAGAAGAGTAGGAGCAAACGATACCCGTTTGAAGATCGACCGTGCCAAGAGTTCATTCATCATTTCTAGGAGCCCTGTGATCTCAGGTTGAAAGTCAGTGATAGAAACGTACCTTCATGCCTCAAATCCGACAATGGCATGCACAGTTCAAGATCATCATATAGGATGCATCAAAGGCAAAAAGCAGTTCATGGCCGCACCATCGTTCCTACGAATCCAGGCGACTCACGTCCTACGTGAGTGGACCCAGATCGATGGATTGGATCGCGTGCAGTCCTTGATCAAACAGCAGTACGACTTGCGAGTGGGGCGCAAGCTATACCATGCGAGTATCAAGCAGTCGGTGGGGTCCGCGGCCGTGCCAGGAGCCCATTCATCATTCTAGGAGCCCAGCATCAGGGTACAGGCAGTCACCGACATCCGTCCGTGCACTAGCCTTACTGACCTCCACGTGAGTAGACCCACAGGCGTATCTTTACAAACATATGGAACAATTGTTGGCCAAAATAAAGACTTGTAGGAGCAAACGGTATCCGCTTAAAAGTTGACTATGCCAAGACCCATTCGTCCTTCCTAAGTGCCACGTTAGAGTCAGCGATAGAAGCCCACCTTCACTTCGTAAGCTGGACAATTCCAAGCACAATTTTTGATCAAATTCAAGATCATCATCCCTTGTAGGAGCCCAGGATCATCTTACACGCAGCCACCGACAGCCGTCCTTGCATCAATCGTACTGACCTCCATGTGGGTGGGACCTTGCTTGGACCCGGAATAATTCCTGGACAAGATTAAGACATCTAGGAGTATACGGTACCTTTGAAAGGTAGATCGTGCCAAGAGCCCATTCATCATTTTTGGGATCACCTTTAAGTTCAGGTTACAGTCAATTTTTGATCAAATTCAAGATCCTCGTATAGGATGCTTCAAAGACAAAAATAAACCCCCCGACCATGGCCGCACCATAATTCCTATGAATCCTGATGGCTCACATTGCAGTCCTACGTGAGTGGACCCAGATGGCATGATTGAATCACGTGCAATTCTTGATTAATCTCAAGATCATCCTTCAGGAGCGAGCAATTCAAATCAGTTTGTGGCGGTCCATCAACAGCTTGGCTATGCCGGGAACACATTCATCATTCCCAGAAGCCCACGATCAGGTTACAGTCACCAACGACCATCCGTGCCTCAGTCGTACTGGCCTCCTCGGGGGTGGACCCAGAATAATTCTTGGCCAAACTCAAGACTTGTAGGAGTTGTTTAGGCTTAGGCCTTCGTGGCAATTGGAGTATAAAAAAAAGTAAACAGTACCCGTCCGAAGGTCGATCGTGTCATTCCTATGAGCCCCATGGGCTCAGTTTATAGCCAGCGAGGGAAACGAATCTTCACGCCTTAAATTAAACCATGCATAATTATTGAGCAAATTAAGATCATCGTCTAGGAGGCTTCGGAGGTCAAAACCAGGTGGCATCCATTCTCGACTAGAGTTGCACCATCATCCTTCAAGCCCTTGCGGCTCATGCCGGAGTCACACGTGAGCAAACCCCTAGGCGATCTTGGATCACGTCTATTCGTACATCAGACTTTTTCAGTAGAGGAAACATAGGTGTATGCGGTTGGTCATGGTTACATATCACACCACCTGTGCAGCCATCAGACAATGGAGTCCTATCAACAGAGATGTTCAGCAGGGACTAATTTTGTCTCCAAGGTAGATTCGCTTGCGAGAGCGGGCCAGAGAGAGAAAAGGAACGTCAACGTGTGTAAGAATCACTT